CTGCAAATATATTAAGGTAAAAAATATTTAGCCTTTAGCACTACTTAAACTTCTAACATTAACTCAGTGATCTAATAATTATAATTATGTTGTAAAATGTTGGCACTATAAAAATCCTGTATAATAATATTACTTGTGAACTGATTTTCTTTCTTGGTAAGAAACAATTCATATTCTAAATGATCTCATATGTTATTACAGCTCTTAGTGCTTTCATGCTGAATTCGCCACAGTCTTGCAGGCATGCTTTTTATTTTACTTCCAGTGCAATAGGCCATGACAGACTCAGATGATACTGCTGTGAGGCAATGTAGATGTGTGCAGCTCATCAGCTATCCGCTACTGAACTATGGTGATCAACCAGGAATTCTTTATTAACCCAGAGAGATATCAGTGTGCTCGGGGCTGCACATCAAAGCAAAGGGAAACACAATATGTAATGGGGGGGTTATGAAATCCCTGAGTTTTCTGCACCAGAGTAGACACTGCCCAAGTTTTCTCAAGTGTAAATAAGACTAAATAAAGAAGAAAACTAAAAAAAAAACCTGAAGCTCCACTTCAAGTATATGGAGCCATAACAAAATTTAAAGTTACACATCAATGATTTGTATTGTTATCTGTAAACTTGTAACTCCTCTGAAAGGCAGTGTGAGATTGATTACTGCTCCCTAAGGTTTTTTCTTATTAACAAAGCAGAGTTTCATTGGAATGTTGCTGCTTGGTAGCAGCTGACTTACAACTTGGATAGCAGCTCGAGATGGAACAGAATGGTTGTGTTTTGTGATGTCTACCCACTGGCATCTGGGAAAAACACAAACAGGCTTACCTAGCAAGATTTTTCTACGTTTGATCAACATGTGTTAAAGGGCCTAATTCACCAAATAAAAGCTGTCTTACTAAAAGGGCAGGGCTGACAGATATCCATTAGGGGACCTTTGGTTTAACTTTGGTTATAAATCTTCTGAAACTCACTCTTAAAGCCCAGGACTCTGTTTTCCTAACTAGGTAAAGCAGGGCTGTAGATAATTCTTATTTCTGGGGGGGGATTCAGCTCACGGAAAAGTTGTGTTTTTAGTGCCAGGTTATCTAGACACCCTTCTGAAGGATTCATCAACCTTACAGCTCTCAATAAATGTCCATAAGACAATTCAGCTGCTTCACACCATTGACTGGGTGATCAGTTTCACCAAATCTGTTCCCTAGCCCTTCCTGCATCTAAAATACATGGATATGGTCCTGGATACATCCCAGGCATAGGTTCTTCATCCAGAAATTAAAGCTGTCTCTCAGAGCTCATGTTCAACAATTGAGATCCAAAAGAAATCCTACAGTGAGATTTGCCATGAGCATTCTGGGCCTGCTGGTGGCCTCATTCGAGGTAGTACCTTTCACCGAATTCTATTCAAGAACTCTCCAGCTAAAAATTCTCTCAGCTTGGAAAAAGCAGACTCTTCCTTGGCTCTACCCATGCTCCTAATAGTCCAAGCAGGTGAGTCCTTGTACTGGTGGATCACCACTCCAACTTTTACAGTGGGAAAATCTGTCAGGTTGTTCCTCCAGCATTGGACCTCCCTTCTAAAGGGATACCCAATTTGGGTGCAGTCAGACAATTCCACCGCAGTAGCATATATATTAATCATCAGGGGGGCACAGTGATTCATACCTTGCTCAAAGCAAGAAAAGCTAATTTAATCAAATTCTAGGAAGATTCAGACCTAGAAATTCTGTTTTGTGTGATGAGAATGTAGTCAATTCAGTGCCAGAGATTATTCTGTGCCTCACATTATAGCCTTTCTACAAAGCACCCTGAAAGGGCAGGTATTGGCCTTATTGTTGATGGAGAGAGGAGAGCTGTATTGAGGGGAAAGTTGTACTGATGAGGGAATCTGCACCAGTGGAAGATCGACACTGGATGGGTGGGTGGGTGGTGTTGGTTTTGGCTTGAAAAAAGAGGTCATTTTCTGTGAATTATGCTCTCCTGACCCCTCCACTCTGTGCATTACACACTGCTGATCATTTCACTACATCCAGAGCTTATATATTGAGTGCTCTACAAATAAGTGTTGGTTGGAGTAAAATACATTAGACCTCTTAAAAATCAGTTGTAACAATCTGTTCATCAAACAATGCTGCACTTGGAAAATATCCTGCTATAGCAGCGGTTCTCAACCTGGGGGTCGCGACCCCTTTGGGGGTCGAACGACGCTTCCACAGGGGTCGCCTAAGACCATCGGAAAACACATATTTCCGATGGTCTTAGGAACCGAGACACCGCTCCTCGCCGCCGCCGCCGCCACCGCCGTCTCCAGGTGTGGGCGGGATGACATGCCGCCCCTGTCATCTGGACACACCTCGAGATCAATCCTCGCCTGTGATTGGCCGCCGGCACTGTAGCTCAGGAGAGGCACACAGGCGGCCAATCACCGGCAAGGAGGTGGAGCTTGGAGAGGAGGAGCCGAGCGGCACCGCGAAGATCGAGCGAGTGAAGAGGAGGAGAGTGGCCGGAGAAGGAAGACATCTGACAGGTAAGTGTCGGTACCATGGGAGAGGGAGGGAGCGAGCGAGCCCAGGCTGGAGCAGGGGTCTGCAAGGTAAGTATCATTGGTGTCAGTGGGAATAGTGCCCCATCATTGGTGTCACTAATACCAATGATGGGGCACTATTCCTCCCACTGACACCAACGATGGGACACTATTCCTCCCACTGACACCAATGATGGGGAACTATTCCTCCCACTGACACCAACGATGGGGCACTATTCCTCCCCCAAATAACACCAACGATGGGGCACTATTCCTCCCCCACTGACACCAAGGATGGGGCACGATTCCTCCCCCCACTGACACCAACGATGGGGCACAATTCCTCCCCCCACTGACACCAAGGATGGGGCACTATTCCTCCCCCCACTGACACCAAGGATGGGGCACTATTCCTCCCCCCACTGACACCAAGGATGGGGCACTATTCCCCCCCCACTGACACCAAGGATGGGGCACTATTCCTCCCCCCACTGACACCAAGGATGGGGCACTATTCCTCCCCCCACTAACACCTATGATGGGGCACTATTCCCCCCACTGACACCTATGATGGGGCACTATTCCCCCCACTGACACCAATGATGGGGCACTATTCCCCCCACTGGCACCTATGATGGGGCACTATTCCTCCCCCCACTGACACCAATGATGGGGCACTATTCCTCCTCCCACTGACACCAATGATGGGGCACTATTCCTCCCACTGACACCAATGATGGGGCACTATTCCTCCCACTGATACCAATGATGGGGCACTATTCCTCCCACTGATACCAATGATGAGGCACTATTCCTCCCACTGACACCGATGATGGGGCACTATTCCTCCCACTGACACCGATGATGGGGCACTATTCCTCCCACTGATACCGATGAAGGGGCACTATTCCTCCCCCCACTAACACCTATGATGGGGCACTATTCCCCCCACTGACACCTATGATGGGGCACTATTCCCCCCACTGACACCAATGATGGGGCACTATTCCCCCCACTGACACCTATGATGGGGCACTATTCCTCCCCCCACTGACACCAATGATGGGGCACTATTCCTCCTCCCACTGACACCAATGATGGGGCACTATTCCTCCCACTGACAGCAATGATGGGGCACTATTCCTCCCACTGATACCAATGATGGGGCACTATTCCTCCCACTGATACCAATGATGAGGCACTATTCCTCCCACTGACACCGATGATGGGGCACTATTCCTCCCACTGACACCGATGATGGGGCACTATTCCTCCCACTGATACCGATGAAGGGGCACTATTCCTCCCACTGATACCGATGATGGGGCACTATTCCTCCCACTGACACCGATGATGGGGCACTATTCCTCCCACTGATACCGATGACGGGGCACTATTCCTCCCACTGACACCAATGATGGGGCACTATTCCTCCCACTGATACCGATGACGAGGCACTATTCCTCCCACTGACACCGATGACGAGGCACTATTCCTTCCACTGACACCAATGACGGGGCACTATTCCTCCCACTGATACCAATGACGGGGCACTATTCCTCCCACTGATACCAATGACGGGGCACTATTCCTCCTCCCACTGATACCAATGACGGGGCACTATTCCTCCCACTGACACCAATGATGGGGCACTATTCCTCCCACTGACACCAATGATGGGGCACTATTCCTCCCACTGATACCAATGATGGGGCACTATTCCTCCCACTGATACCAATGATGAGGCACTATTCCTCCCACTGACACCTATGATGGGGCACTATTCCCCCCACTGACACCAATGATGGGGCACTATTCCTCCCCCCACTGACACCAATGATGGGGCACTATTCCTCCTCCCACTGACACCTATGATGGGGCACTATTCCTCCTCCCACTGACACCTATGATGGGGCACTATTCCTCCCACTGATACCGATGATGGGACACTATTCCTCCCACTGATACCGATGATGAGGCACTATTCCTCCCACTGACACCGATGATGGGGCACTATTCCTCCCACTGACACCGATGATGGGGCACTATTCCTCCCACTGACACCGATGATGGAGCACTATTCCTCCCACTGACACCAATGACGGGGCACTATTCCTCCCCACTGACACCAATGACGGGGCACGATTCCTCCCACTGACACCAATGAAGGGGGCACTATTCCTCCCACTGACACCAATGACGGGGCACTATTCCTCCCACTGATACCAATGATGGGGCACTATTCCTCCCAATGACACCAATGACGTGGCACTATTCCTCCTACTGCAAAATTACAGTTATGAAGTAGCAACGAAAATAATTTTATGGTTGGGGGTCACCACAACATGAGGAACTGTATTAAGGGGTCGCGGCGCTAGAAAGGTTGAGAACCACTGTGCTATAGCAAAATATTTATTTTCTACAAGTAATGTAATGTATAAATACAATGTAACCTGTATATTTTGTCCTAATTGTTACCTTTTCTGCTTCCAGTGCATATGCCAGGTTTGAAAATGCTTCTCTGAATTTGAAAAATGATTTTTTCCATTCATAGTTAAATGTTTGAAATGTGTTTCCAAACAGAATCTTTCTCAGCTCCTGAAAAGAAAAATGATTGCAAAGGTACTATAATACATAGTTGTGCTAACTATACCTAATATACAACTGATGTAATGATTAAAATAAAATCATATTCCATAAAGTTCTTTAGAAAGACATGCCTTATGGATCAAAAGAGTCCTATGAAGTCCAAAATGTGTTAGGGCATTTAATCAGGACAGGTTGTCAAAAGAAATATGACAAATGTGCTATAAATCATTACCGTCTCACACAATCTCCAGATCGTACATTTAACATTCACACATTCTTTTGTTGCCCTCCAAGAAAACCAGTGATCAATTAGCTTTACCTATTAGGCATACAATGGGCCTAAATTTGTACCTTTATTAACCAGTCTGGTTCAAATATTTGATATTACCTATTAGGCATTCCCGCTCTCAGTAGTATATGGTATGCTCCTGATAGGAGAAGTGTGAACAACTCATTGCTTAAGTTACACACAGATATGAATTGTACAGGCACATGGTTGGGCAATGGGCTGGCTTATATCAGAAATGTTATATTATGGTCACTTTAAATTGGATCTGTGCAAGTATTTTTTATTTAATAACTTATTTTAAGTTAAACAGGGCGTTTTATCCAACACGTGCATTCAGTCTTTTCAAATAACATAGACAAATTGGGTGAAGGCTTTCAACTTAGCGGGATTCCTTGATTAAAGAATAATGCTGGAATCAGAATTTATTTGCTATAACTTTATTTCCTAATAGTTTAATTTTATTTACTATAGTTGTTTGCAGTGTATACTTATTTTACAACTGATTTACAAGAATCTTGTAAACCAAGTGGAAAAATATATTCATGTATCCTAAGGCCCCTATTTCTTGGAATGTTATTTTAAAGATTGCAAATGGTAATGGATATATTATTATTATTATTATTATTATTATTATTATTATACGAGTTTATATAGCGCCAAAGGGTTTGCTCAGCGCTGTACAATAGGGGGGGACAATACATGGCACAGTACAACAAAGACAGACATATATATATATATATATATATATTTATATACTGTAAATGTGTTGACTGTGACTAGGCAGAACATATATATAAAGGACAAAAATAGCACGGAAAAAGGGAAGTCATTTGCAGCAACCAGCCAGTAATCTGATTTCAGCAAACTGATTGCTTGATGTGGTCTGTTGCACCTTGTACATCTTCATTGCTCTTTCTGCTACTCTATTAAATAACACATCATACATTTTCATGTCTTAATTACAACTACTTTCTATGTTGGAAAACAATTGGTGTGCTAATATAATATCATCAGAAAATAATGTTTTTTTTTTCCATAATGAAACATCCTCCCGTCACTCCGGCATTTAATAACACTCTGCTCCTTAGATCACACAAGATAGGATTCCCTAGGCCTTTTGTTGAATATGGATTAGGTTTCGTGTGTTGTTTTATTGACAAGCTTTGCTTACCATTGCCATTTCAATTGTGATAGGCCGGCCACCAAGGTCTGAAGAAATTATTAGCTCTCTTGGGATAGAATATAACACACTGCCAGGAGAAGTGCCATGCTTCTTGCTTCTTGAGGTCTTAGACCTGTCTTCATTTTCTTCACCTCCTGTATAGTTATCCTGAATAGTCTTAATGATCACATATGGTTAGATGTTACGGAATTATATTTATAATTTCAAAGAAGCAAAACTGCAAGGGATTTTGATGCATAGGAATGGACTACATACCGGTAATCTGAAGTCGACTTACCCCTATCACTGATACCACCATAAGAATTAAAGTGGAACAGAACTGATTCCAGCTGACAGGTCAGTAATTCTTATGGCACCTGCATTCTCCCTTTTGGTACAAGATCATCGTTGCTTTTAATAAAACAGTTCCCCGACTTCACAGATTAAATGGATGGCCCCCTCTATTCAAAATATAACCCCCCCCTCGCCTTTACCGCCAACACACAACATTATGGCTCTGCTGACTTGCTCTGTGCCCTCCCTGTCAGCAATTCTCCCTGCTGCGTGGCTACATTCTGCTCTCCTCCATGTCCTCTCTGGTCCCCAATGATTGCTGATGCTCTCCCTACTCCTGTGTCCACAGAGACAATGGGTTTTAGAGGGGACAAGGCAGGTTGTGGCTACACTGCCAGAGGATCACTGACAGACAGGGGCACACAGTAAGAGTACCACAACACGTGGGGGTTGATTTACTAAAACTGGAGAGTGCAAACTTTGGTGCAAATGTTCATGGTAGCCAATCAGCTTCGAAGTTCAGCTTGTTTAATTAGGCTTTCACAGTAAAACCTGGGAGCTGATTGGTTTCCATGCAGAGCTATACTAGATTTAGCACTCTCCAGTTTTAATAAACCAACCCCATAGGTGTGAAGCCAACCTCTAGATTTTTGGCGTAAGTTGCTTATTTACTATTTTGCATACCTTAAATTTTCACTGTTCTGCAAAATGGCAAAATTTAAAATGTACAAATATTTATACAGTTTTTTCTTTTTTAGATTTAATTTTAGTAAGTATTGTTTAAGTTATGTTGTGTTTGAGTGCACTAATGATGACTTTAGTGTACTATTACGTAAAGGGGAAGTGTGAGATAGCAAAATAACAAACATACATACTCACTTGCTTGGGAGCAATAGCATTGCACAGAGCAGGTAAGTATACCCAGGGCCGGCACTAATACTAGACAAATTAGGCAGCTGTCTAGGGCGCACTGCCACCTAGGGTGCAGCTATGGCCAGGGCCACCGATAGGGCAGTACTTACGTTAGTTACATTTTCCCTGGGCCCCTATCAGTTCACTAGAAGGGCTCAGGAGGCGAGGAGCAGAGAGGGACTCTTTTTTTCAATTTTGGGTGCAGGTGGCTAAAGCCACACTGCATTTTGCAATGCTGATCAGTGCCGGCCAGGGGCAACTACTCACAGCCTTTTGCTGGCGCAGTGATTATCCCTTCCTCTGCTGAGGAGGGCGGAAGGCAAGGCTGTAGCCCAGCGGCAGAGAGGTGTTCAAGGGCACAGGAAACCCAGTGCACAGGCAAGCTCACAATTTCTGTTTTCTGAGGCACAGACAGAGATACAGCCATTGGCTGTGCACTGCTGATCATGTGTCTCATTGACAGGATTGGTGTTAGTGAGACATTGAGTAATAGTATCAGCACAGCACAGTGCACCTTCCCCCAGTTCCCAGCCTGAAACTCCGGCAGTGACAGGGAGATGCTGCTGTACTGCTTACAAACTATGGATTACTCTGTGTGCACTGTATGATAGGGCATAGTGTGGCTAGCACACATGATGATGTGTCACTGGTCCTGCGGGGGGGGGGGGGGCACTGAAATCTGGGGGGAGGAAGCCCCCAGCATCCCCATAGATACATCCCTGGTGCAAGTAGCTGGTCTTGCCTAGGGCACAAAATAGTGTAGCACCAGCCCCGAGTATACCATATGTATTATTGTAGATAAATAATCCTGCAGATTCTTGCAGCGGGAATCTGCCGGCTACATGTAACCGGCTGTGCAAAGGAGCCTTTAGATTTACATTTAACTATTTAGTTCAAGGGGCTGCTTGATTTGAACTAATTGGTTGTTTAAGTCTGTGCTTATAATACATAGTGTTGTTAATTCTGAAGAAGATTGTTCAGAGATTTTAAAATCAGATTATATAGTGTATGGCCAGATTAAGCCTTTGGTCATCAGAAGATCACAACAGAAAAGCTGCAGAAACACAAGATTTGTGAAAGGAATTAGTCAGCATACCATATGACCAGTGCCAGAGTATTAAATGTGTAGTCATGCAAAAATGAAATTTATTTTTTTGTAGCACATAAAAAAATAAAAATTTATTTTTCAGTCCTAAACATGTCTAATGACATTTTCGTACAGTATATAAATACCGTATTTTACATATATATAATAACATATTGGTGAAATGATAGATTTTCACCAAAAAGGTCTTACGGAAATGAGAGCCTTGGGTTTAGACAAAGATATGGAGAAAGTAAATTAATCATTAATTGCATTTGTGGATGGAGCTGTTGGTGGATGTGTACAGATAGCCCTGCAGAATTGTAATATATTATCTGTAGAAAATCTGATTATACCATCCATTCAGTATATACAATCAATAAGTGCAGCACTCTATGAATACAAGCTATATCTCTACATACACAAAATATGACATAATGGTGAACAAACTGTGAATACTAATGAAAATAAATATTAAAACGGTGCAACATCACAATATAGTGCTTGAAGTGAAAATGACTGATAATAAGCCCCCTACTGCAGGGGATATACCTTATAACACAAGTGCTCAGTGTCAACACACTCTATTCATTACTATAAATAACTACTGAAATCATATATATACAATAAGTGAACACATCACTCAAAACCATATCTAGATAAACAAAACGTGCCACCGGTGTCCACAGCATCAAATGAAAACATGCAGGTGAATCTTGCGTGTTTGTAGGCTCTGGTGATGACTCCACACACAGCTAGATTGGCCCCTCACCTCCTTGCTGTGACCCTAAAAGGGCCTAAATGCCTTATGGATCACTCCTGGATCCTCCTGGGTTAAAGCCTATCCTCAAGAAATATCCTAACTGGCTCTTATCCAAACATATCAGCTCCCACATGGTCCACAAAGAAAAAAGCCTCCATAGTGCATTATCATTCATTAATACAGTAATAAAATCTCATACTCAGGACACTCACATTTTTCCTCTTCTTGTACAAAGCATATAGAACCTCATGTATGGGTGTACTTGCTGGGTTCTTTAGGGAGTCCAAATATGGCGTCCACGCCGGAAATTACGTCACCTACGCGTTGCGTCACCACTCACGTGACTTCCTCGTGGCTTCTTTGTGCATGCACAGGAATTATGTAATTGCGGCTTGGCCATTCAGAGCTGAGTCACACATGTGTGGTGCGGATTGAAGCTCAGGTTTCACAGCTAATTGATACAGTAGTTGTTCACCAGTTCATGTCAGGTTTGCATCAGGTTCAGGATAGGATTAGATCTCATATACGGTTCAGAAAAGGTTCCTATAGTCAATAGCCTGTAATCCGCACCTGAACCTGACTGCACTGCTCAGAAATCAGACATGACTCTTTTTTAATCCACACTGCCAGTGCACATGTCATGCAGACTGGATGCGGTTCAAACTGCATCCAATCCGCATATATGTGATCCAGCACTCAAATGGCCGGAGCCTTCGAACCCAGAAGACTGGGTGAAGATGGAAGCCCTATTAGCGGTGACAGCACACTGTTGGAGTGCTTTGTTTTAAGGTAAGTTTTTCATAGCGTGCTAGTATGCAGTGTCATTGACTTGAGGGATTTTTTAAAAAAATTTTTTTTTACACTCTTTACTACTGATTTAACAAGGAAAGCCAACCATAGCTTTGCACTCATTGACTACCCCTACAGACAAATAAAAGCAGAAGAAATAAGTGTGCCTCCTCTGAGTCATTCAGCTCTTTGTGCACATTTAAAGTGATATTAAAGGTTCAGCTTACAAAAAAAAAATAACATGTTCTACTTACCTGCTCTGTGTAATGGTTTTACACAGAGCAGCCCCAATCCTCTTCTTCTCAGGTCCCTAGCTGCCGCTTTTGGCTCCTCCCCCTTGCTGAGTGCCCCCCAATAGCAAATCACATGCTATGGAGGCACTGGTGCGTTTTCACTCCAAAGCCCCGCTCTATGCGTTCATAAGACACAAAGGTGGCTCGACCCCACCCTCACTCTCTCCTCATAGGCTCACTGGCTGTGATTGACAACAGTGGAAGCCAATGGTTACCGCTGCTGTCTCAACCAATGAGGAAGACCCGGGACAGCAAAGGCTCTCGATCATATTGCTGGATCGAGAGGGGATTCAGGTGAGTATTGGGGGGGCTGTGGGGGGGGGGGGAACAGCACACACATAGAACGCATGAAGGTAAAAAAACCTTCAGCCTTCACAACCACTTTAAATCAACTCTCCCAAAAACTGAAACATAGACCGAACAATAGATAGATGTCTGTGCAAAGAATATAATAAATACTCACCTCTACAGCTGTGCACACCACTGATCACTGGAATCAGAAAAGAACATTTCTGATCTCTTGGGTCCCCTGCTACACTCAGTGGTTACTCCAACTGACCTCTACATTCTTACAGAATACAGTAGATTCAGTCTTCTGCATAAGCAGCACATAACTGAATTGCATTTTCTGTCTTTCATTTTATATAATATAAAAAGAAAGCTCTATTTGTGTTAAAAAATTATATAAATTTAATTTGGGTACAGTGTTGCATGACTGTGAAATTACCACTTAAAGCAGCACACTGAACAGCAAAAAATTCCCTGGTCATGAAGGGGTTAAAAATATTACAGTGGATGGGGAAAACCTCCCCGCTGTGTCGTTGTATTTTGACAGTGGGTATAATATTCTAGAGCTCATAAAAGGCACCAATTAACCTTACCAGCTAAAGCATAGAATTAAGAAAGTGTGTGGGCTCCTAAATGAGTTACTATTATTTTATACACAGCTTTAATAGTATTACACTTATATTTTCCAGAACCCAAGCCACATGTTTTGTTTGTTGTATTTTTTTATGATATACTTATTGCATAATTAGATTTG